GAAAAAGGAGAGATCTCGTATATCGACGATGTGAATGGACGGGACGGCCGGGATAGCAAGGACCAGCGGCAGGAGATCCGGTTCTCTTGGTTCTTAAGGACAGGGAAAAGGACGCAGAGGAGATCGCGGCAGCAGCAGCAGAAGAAGCAACAGAGGGAGAGGTAGGGCTTAGTTTGCTCCATGGCCTGGTGGACTATTCGATTTATTATTAGTTTGACTGTCTATATCTGCTCTCCATGCGGTGGCGTTGGGCTCTCTCTCTTGCTCTACTCCGTACATTTACAGACAAACATCCTCCTCCTCCCCCCCCCAATGGACGAGAGAGACGAGAGAAGAATAACAAAGGGCGATGACGTCTACGGAGTGCGCTTTTTGCCTTCCCCTGCGATTCTCTCGATCGGTTTTGTGTGTGCTTTTAATTTCCTTTCTCCATTATTTTTTCGTAATAATATTTCTACAGTGTTGTTTCTTTTTCCTTGCCCCTTTTTTGCTTTTTGTGGAGGCGCACACGAGTGTATGTATGGGTGCCCCTGGGTCAGCCTGGGGCGGGCAGGGGATGGATGGAAAGGGAGAGAGAAAGAGAGAGAATATACGGAGAAGCGCCGGCGAGGTTAAAAAGGGAGGCAGAGGCTGTCTGTGTTGTTTGGTGGTGGCCCCCAAGGGTATGTATGTATTATGTATGACAGCAGGGGCATATATTTTATTATATATTGGGACACGGCATGACAGCAGTTGGTTTGTTCACTACCTATTTCAGGCGATTTTATCAAGGAGCAGCTTTGCAGCGCTGCTGGCAGGGTCTCGTTTCTCCTCTCCGTCTCCCTTGGGCTTGCTGGCCAGCTCCGTTAGCCGCTTCTTGCTCTTCTTCAAGGTAGCGGCCAGCTCGTCTCGCTTGTCAAACTCTTCGGACTCCAGCAGGGCAACAACGACAAAGGGATTCCACTCGGTGGCCCACGACTGCACGTTGTCCTTGATGTGCTTGTAGAGAAGGGATGCAAAGTTGAGCGGAGGCTGGACGGGTTCTACCTTCTTGGTAGCATTGTTGAACCGCCCTCCCTGGACGAGGGCCTTGAGCATTCGACCCGCGTTGGGAGACTTGAGGACATCTCCTGCTGCCTCTGCCTCTGCCAGGCCCGCCACAGCCTCGAGAGCAGCTGTTTTGTCACCGGTGCTGTCGAAAAGGACCTCGGTGATGAATCGGGCTCCAAAGCTGGTCTCGGCCAGGGCAGCAGCGTTGTTGGTAATGCATTCGAGCAGAGCCGGAGAGGCCGCGCTGACGAGCTCTCGTTGACGGATCTCGGGATCCTTCTTGGATGTCTGTGATCGTATCTCGCACACTTCATCGAGGATCTGGCGGTCTGTATCGGTAATCAGCCACCCGTTCTTCTTGCCGGCAAACGAATAGAGTATGGGGATGCGAGCCAGCTGATCGTTGGCCCGCGGCACCAGGTCGTCCTGGGTAAGCAGTTCGGACAGCAGCAGCTTCTGAGTCAACTTGGTATCATCCACAACCTCGTACGCGACCAGGAGCACAGTGTGGCCGTGGACGTCTCCAGACATCAGCTTCACTGTATCACGGTACATTCGCAGCAGCAGCTTACGATCTTTGGCATTCGAGTACGCGAGCGCCAGACACATCAGCCTGGCACCAGACTTGGTAAATGCCAGATTCTTTGCTAGGTCCCCTTCTTCGTCTCCCTTGAGCAGCTCGATGAACTCGGTTGCTTCCTCGCTGCCGGGCTTCGTGCTGAGGAAGTACTGCAGCATTGCATCATGCAACATGGTGAAGCCCGTGGTCTTCTTTTGGATAAGCTGGTTTATCATCCCATGGAGGTGCTGTAGGATGGGCGCACGCTTCTCGGGGCTCTTCTCCAGGATTTCAGGCAGCGACGGCGTCTCATCGCTAATCTCGTCTTTCATAAGCGTAAACTCCATCCCGTACCATTCTCGAAGCAGCTTGTGCTTCTGCACCGGTGTGGCCACGGTTCGGTAGATATCGTCCAAGATCCACGAGGCCTCTGGATGCCGGATAAGCCTCTTCACATGGCCGAAGAACTCTGGTATGATCAGGTCCCGGATTTCAGCATCCCCATGTACAAGCAACTTTCCAAGCAAGAACTTTGCGTACTTGCTCTCTGCCAAACTCCGGTAGTCGCCCTTCAGCTCGACGGCAATGTTCTTCCGCTGCTCCAGGTTCGCATACTTGAGCGCGGTCTGGATAACTCGGACTGAGTCGTGCTTGAAAACAAAGTCCTTTACTCGGCCTGTTATAATGCCGTATAGCTCGGCAACCAGCTTCTTGCGCTCTTCGCGAGGCACATGGGACTTCCGCCGTAGTCTTTCCCAGATCTTCTTTGTGCGCGCAATGGCATCGGCATTGGGCCGGGCGGCTTTGCGCTCTTGTGCAAGAGCCTTTTGCTTTGCATGGGACTCTCTAGACGTGCTTGTTTCTGTTCATGCCAGTTATTAGTATCTGTAATAGTTGTAGACTGTAGAAATCGGGGGCGGATGGCTTCGTACTGTTTTCTGCATTGCCATTGGCATTGCCGTTGCCCTTTGCGGCGTCTTTCTCAGACTCATTGCTCAATTCCTCCTCCTCCATTTTTTCATCCACTTCATCTCCGTCCTCGTAGTCGTCCTCCTCCTCATCATCATCATCGTCGTCGTCGTCGTCATCTAGCATATCCTCATCGCTGTCCAACTCCACCACCTTTGCGGCCTTGGACTTGGACTTGCCCTTCACTTCGACCGGCTTCGCGGACGACTTCGACTTGGTCCTTTTGCTGAGGGAGGCCTCCGTAGCATCGGTCCTGCGCTTTACCCCCGCCATCGTGTATATTCCAGCCGCAGAAACCACTTCCAAAAAAATGAGCTCCTTCAAGTGAATCTCAATAATATCTTCTTCTTCTTTTTTTTTTTTTTACTTTTTTTTTTCTACTTTTTTTTTTTTATTATTTTTGAGTTTTGGGGAAGTTTTTCATGTTTGCACTGTTTGCATGAACTTGATAGATGACTAAGCAATCGCGTCTCACGTGATATGTACATCTCCATCTTTGCGACTTTCCCAAAAAAATGCAGCAAAGGAAGAAAGAAGAAAAGAAGAAAAGAAGAAAAGGAAGAAGCAAACAAAAAGGGAGGAAGAAGCCAGAACGCCTGGAGAGCAGTAAAGGGGGAGCGCAGTTCGGCAGCTGGGAAAGGCAGATATGTAGCAGGCCGGAAGGAAATGTGACCCCCTAAGTAGCCCCAGCGGCCCAACTATGGGCTCATTCATCAACGCCAATCATACAATATTAATAAGGTCAAACATAGCAAATCAGCATTTATAGACAAGATCCTGGGCTCTGGTTAGTGTGTGAGCTATTTGGCCCGGTCTATGCTTGCTAGCTCGGCGCCCTGCCCACTTTGATCCCGTCGTCTACCGGGGAAGTGGAAGCTATGCTTTCCGGGTGTCTGCTGGGACGCAGGCGAGTCACCAAAGCGAGAGAACAGCCCTCGTTTCTTCGGCTTGGAATCATCAGCTAGGGAGACGTCTTCGAACGGATCTTCTACGTCGTCCACGCCGTTGCTGTCTGTGGGGGGTTCGAGGGAATTGCCGTTTGTTGATGTACGGGGACAGGTGGTCCGGGACAGGCGGGAGTCCAGTGAGGTGCGAGACGCAGCAATGTCCGAATGCTGGCTCACGGGAGACCGAGCGGATATGTCCTGGATGGGGTTTTATATGGAGTACAGCGATTAGCCATGAGAACTGCGATGGATGGACCAGTGTCTCGCTTCGTTGATGGTAGTCGAGTCTTACAAATGAACGACGATATGAATCAAACGACTCCCGCGATATTGAGAAGGGCTCATTTTCATCAACGAGGTTCCGGCTGGCTTTTCGAGACGATGGCCTCTGCCAGTAGCTCTTCGTCTCGGTGGGCGAGGGCTGTAGTCGTATCAGTAAGGGATATACAGCACTACGGGAGTTATGTGCATGCAATTCAGCCTCATACCGGAAGATAGACCCCGTTGTCATTCACGACTGCAAGAGAGACCACCTGTCAGCCATGTCTGAGAGAGCACGCTAGTTATTATTAGGCACCCGTGGATCAGAAATCAGGGATAGAGGGGGTGTGATCCATATGGCAGATTTATGGATGATGCTCCTTACGTCCGGATCGTCCGGATATCAGGATCGCAGATGGCAGAAGCGTTTACCACTCATTTTATATTCATGAGGCTCGTCGACTTTGGTCCTCCCGAGGGTCAACGACGGCCGTGGACTTCTCGCTGGACTTTTCTCTGCAGACAATAATTGGCCTGGCTCGTCCGGCGCCTCTTCCACGTTGACGGCGGGGGGCCGTCGAGGAAACAGGTTACGAAAGGGTGGCATGGCCAACAGGGTCAAACAGGCAACGGACGGTGTGGATGTATATTTCCCTCTCTCTTGCAAAACAGCCTAGAAATGAGCCTCGATTAAATAATGGCAATGGATGTGCATCAGGCCATACGGAGCAGAGCCTGGGAATTAGCAGAGCGAGCGTGCGTGCCTGTCTGTATCGCCAGCCAACAATCGCTGCTATCAGAACTCGTTAGCCAAGCAGAGTTACACTAAGTCAAGGATACGAACGAGCCGGCGCCAGCGCATGCTTAACTAGCCTCCGATCGACCCATGGTCAAGATCTCTGTCTCTGCATGACGTCCTGCAGCAAGGGAGTAGTAGTAGCTCAGTACAGTAGCAGGCGTGAGGGGTGAGGAATTAGAGAAGCGTATCAGTGTGGCCTGCTGCAGCGATATAAAAGCTGCATGCCAGGTGTCAGCCCTCGGGTCGAATCGATCGCTTCGAGATCCCTGATCTACGGACTTGTCTCCTCTCCCTCGTAGTATGTCCGTCGAATAGCCTCTATCACCTTGCATGCACCTAAAAGCAATGCCATGCCGGCCATGTCTCACATTCGCCGCCCGACTCAAGCGCTCTAGGCCTGCGTTGTTGCATTTAGTCAATGACGAAACGGGGCCGTCTACAGTGGCGGATACGACTCTGTCCAGGGAGCATATAATTACCTGCTTGTTCACCTTCATTTTTCCCTCGAGTAGTTTATATAGTTATATCTAGATCTCTTCGCCCGTAATCATCACTATTCGTCTCTTCTGCTTTCGATATCCCCCGTCCTGCGGGCTCTCTTGTTCCACCACATCTGTGTGGAGACCAGCGGTAACTAGTTAACTGGACAGGAGAAGTAATAAAGAGCAACACCCGAGTATCTACCCCCATAGATACAGGCGAACTTTTAAATCATCATCATCATCATTTTCTTCTTCTTCTTCTTTTCTTCTTCTTCTTCTTCTTGTTGCATACAAGATTATTATTATACCAAAAAGCAAAGGCAGTGACGACCAGCTGCTCCTTTTCTTACAATTCACCAAATCCACTTCTTAGTGCTTGCGGGCAAAAGCCAACACTCAAGTTCCCTACGACCGGCCTGAAGTCGCTTTGTTCCCTGCTGGAGCTTTATATTTCCTGCTGGATAGCCAGAGATACGTCTCTTTCATGGTTGGATAAACAAGACGGACAGCTTTTACGTCTGCCGTTCATTCATCAGTCAAGATGGGATTCTGGGTGGACTGGGAGCTATGGCAGAAGATGTGCTTTGTGAGTCTATCCAGACGTCGGTTTGCAGCTCCACCATGTATATTCAGGTGCTAATATGCGGACACAGGTTCTTGGAGGTCTTATTGTATGCTCTGGATGCCGATAGGCCTGTCTTCCCCCATCCAGGCTCCGGTCCTGCTAACACTTCACATCAGGCGCTTGTTCTCGTGTACGGCACATGTGTCCATATATACAACAGCTGGAGGATAAAAAAGATTGGAGCAGCAGAGAAACTTAAGAAAGCGGAGGAAGAAGCGACTATTGGAACAAAGGATCTCAACCTCATACCCTTTGGATCTCGTGCTCTGGAGAGTGGAATTGAGATTGAAGGTATCTGGGTATCTAGGACGAACACTCCCTTGCCGAGTCCGATTCCAGCTGCGACCCCTGAAACAACGAGGCCGGGTACCCCGTCCAATATCGATCTTGGAGCTGCCGCCCTCCCGTCTCCTAGGGGAGGAGGTTCTGCCCTGGGACGCAGACAGGACGAGTCATTGCTCACAACCAACGGACTGAAGGCTGCCGTGGCCAGGGGGCTCGATAAGAATTCCAGTTCAGACACTTCTAGCACAAGAATTTCATACGAATCGAGTCTGTCATCGCCTCCAAACGGAGCTGGTATGTATCAACCAAAACCCCTATTGTCATCTTGAGCGGGGAAGAGATATATTGACTCATCTTGATTTGATAGAAGGCGAAGGCACAGAGCAGACAGGTCTGCAAGCGGTCCCCAGAGCCGTACATCACTCGAGAAACCAGTCGAATAGCCATATCCCCGTGGGAGACGAAGACCATCTACAGGCACTACACACCCACCGACGGTCACATGTAGCGGAGACCGGCCAGCTCGGAGGACCATGGAGACAACAGCCTGTCTCGGCCTGAGTCCGGAAAATGAATTAAAGAGATACCGACTCTCTTTGACAGCTTCGACGCAGCTATGCATGCTGCGAGAGCCCGCTCTCATCTTACGGCCTCGATGATGATAACTAACGACAGATTTGATTCTTCTGGCGTGTTTCTTGCATATGAGTCTCCTACAATATTACTCAGGAAGACTTCCCCCTTTACTTTTTCTCTACCGGCTGCTCTCCACCAGCCGTCTCTTTAATAATTAATCTGGTTATACAAAGTCATTAATTCTGTAGAAACAGAGCGAGAATCCGCCTTTTAAAAGGAATTGGAAGACATTTTAATTTAGGTTGGCTATTTACATCACGTGAACACGCGTCTTGACTTTTCAACATCGAAAAACATCGAAAAAAAAGCATCGAAAAAACATCAAAATCATCAACACGATCGAGCTGTCGACATTTCGGCCTTGCTGTTGCGTGTAGTGTTGGCTCGTTGTCTTGCTAGTCTATTCTTTTGTATTGCTGTTACCGGTCCAGTCCTACAGAATCTATCGTTGTTGGAGCCGATCGACACGTGTACTGAGACGCGCGCAACCATAGCCCACCAGGATGACTACAGAGGAGGCATCGCAGGCCGAGCTGGATGATAACGGCCTGCCAGGACCAGGAGCACCTACGCCTCTGTCTGCCCTCGAGGTTTGTTATCGATGTTCTTGTGCAGCCTCTTACTCTTCCGCTCAGACAGTACTAACGGGGTCTTATTTCATTTAGGGCGTTGGAGGCCTAACCGCGCGAGATATCAAACTGATTACCGATGGAGGTTTTCATACCGTCGAGGCAGTGGCATATACGTATTTCTCCCTTATATCTTTCTCTCTCTTTTCTTCTCAGTCAAAGTGCTACCCGCTTTGGCTGCCTTCATTGCAGCACCGGCTGACCCTGTTTAGGCCGAAGCGGGTGTTGGAGCAAATCAAAGGAATTTCAGAGCAAAAGGCTACAAAGATACTGACAGAAGGTCATACTCCTCTCCTTCAACGTTAGTAATATAGATGACCCACTAATACTGATTTATAGCGGCTAAAATTGTGCCTATGGGGTTCACGACTGCGACCGAAATGCACTCTCGTCGAGCGGATTTGATATGTATAACTACTGGCTCCAAGCAGCTTGACACCCTTCTTGCCGGCGGCATTGAGACAGGATCCATTACAGAACTCTTTGGCGAATTCCGAACAGGAAAAAGTCAAATATGCCATACCCTAGCTGTCACTTGTCAACTACCTTTCGACATGGGTGGTGGTGAGGGCAAGTGTCTCTATATCGATACCGAAGGAACGTTTCGACCCGTGCGTCTGTTGGCTGTAGCACAACGGTATGGTCTCGTCGGCGAAGAAGTGCTAGACAACGTTGCTTACGCTCGTGCCTACAACTCCGACCACCAGCTTCAATTGCTCAACCAGGCATCCCAGATGATGTGCGAGACGAGGTTCTCCCTTCTCATCGTCGATTCTGCCACCTCGCTCTACCGGACGGATTTCAGTGGTCGTGGAGAGCTATCGTCAAGACAGAACCATCTGGCTCGATTCATGCGCACCCTGCAACGGCTTGCCGATGAATTCGGAGTCGCTGTTGTAATTACTAACCAGGTTGTCGCACAGGTCGACGGTGGACCAAGCGCAATGTTCAATCCTGACCCCAAGAAGCCTATCGGCGGTAACATCATTGCCCACGCGAGTACCACGCGACTGAGTTTGAAGAAAGGCAGAGGGGAGACCCGAATTTGCAAGATCTACGACAGCCCATGTCTTCCAGAGAGTGACTGTCTCTTTGCCATTAACGAAGATGGCATTGGGGACCCTAGTCCCAAAGATCTAGAAAAGGAATCATGATCTAGACCTGTCCTCTCAATTTCGACGTGATTTTGCTACTCATTTAGCTGCGGCGTTTGGGGAACTTTCCTTGTCTCTCTTCTCATGCATACTGATTACGATTCCTCCGTCTATATTATGCCCTTATAGAATAAAAATATGATTAACGAGCGTAAATATTATTGATTCTAATACAGTTCATTTTCCTTCCTTCATTGCTGTGTTGGTTGGTGTTGGTGTTTTTTGATAAATACGGCGTCGATACAGAGTTTGTATTGGCCAACCTAAAATATTTTACGCGCTAAACTCCATCTTCAAGTTTTGAAAAATAATAAAATCGACATTTGACAAACAAGCTCCAACAAGAAGCAATGCCACAGCACCGTCTTTCCCACGCCTAGCCTTCCTGCAGATGGGACAGATCTGTTTCCTGTCGCTATAAAGAAGATGTTGGTAACTCACAGGGGCACCAAGGTCGATATTGGCCCAACCACGCAGCACCCCGCCGTGACCGTCGCCATCAAATCGCATGGAGCTCAGCAACGAGCCAAAATCTCAACAACGACCTCCTCGAGTGCCCGCGACACAGCCATACGGGACGAAGACGCGTTCGCAAAGCGATACTTGGCCTCCCAGAGCTCTATCTACTTCCGCAAGCGCAAAACCTACCCTCGATCGTTCTTCTGGCGGGTCATTGAAGACAGCACCTGTCTTGAACTCAGAGCTGTTGATTTGACGAAGAGCTCACAAGACCATCATGAATCGAACGTTGCTATTCGACTTGAGTTTGAGGATGCCATCGTACCGCATGGCGTGGCTCTGGCTGACGTAGAGGGCCATGAATCACTCAGTGTTTTTGTTCTACTGAGATCAAGGCAATTGTACACGTTCACGATGAGACCTGAATACTTCCGGAAGCTAGAGTTGATAGACGAAAACATTAATGATTGGTGTAAGACGTGCAGCCCGGCGCCGTTGGGGTTCTCGTTTCCACACCGGTTGTACGCTGCCTCGCCTTATGAGCTGTTTATTTCTCTCGACAGCGGATCTCTTTTGCGTCTGACGAGGAAAGTCGGTGATGATGGTATGTTTCAACTCTGATGTCCAATTCTTCCCCCTCTTTTTCTTCTCAACGGATCACTAATTGTATACTTTATCCAGGATCACACTGGTTCCCCATTACCTTTGATGAAAAGAGCTGGAGCTTTTCTTTACGCGGCCTCGTCAAGTGGAGCGGCGACCAGACAGTTCAATACTATGGCAGGTCCCTGGACCCTAACACCCCCAATGCGATTGCAACAACCTCAGATCAGGCGTTTGTCTTCGTGGTTGGGTTGAACCACTCCTTAAAGGTCTGGAACCTAGCAAGCCAAAAACTCGTTGGGTCAAAGAACTTGTTGAACCGCACCAGTCAATCCCAGGACACTTCACCCATGGCCTTAAACCCAGATGAGTCCGCATTCATTCGGGTCTTCACAGCAGAAAGGGCGTCAGAGGGTAGTATGTACTATGTTGTAACATACTCGCCTCAGGATGATGGGCAGTTTAAATTCTGGGCTGTTGGGGGTGGGATTACAGGCCAATTGGTGATCGAGGACCTTTTCCCGGATTCAAAACTTCAGCCTGCAGATCCAGACCCGTCTGGTAGCGTATTCTGGAATGTGGTTGACTTCCAAATCAAGTCAATGGACGAAGGCAGAAACATGGCACTTTGGGTCCTCTGGAAAAGCCATAACTCTTACCGACTTTATAGCCTTCACTTTGATTTAGTCGATCTGGCCAAGGTGTGGAACACCAATTGGACAATGACATCGTTCACATTTTCCGGAAATAATACTCCTCCAAGCTCGGTACGGTCAGATACGACAGATACCCAAGAGAGATGGGTCGAGCACCTCTTTGCGCCTGGAAGATACTCACCTGAGATTCTCCGGACTGCTTTGGCAATCTACCAGGATGCCATGAAACTAAAGCACACTCGCTCCTTATGCAGTAACTCCACATCATCATCACTACAGCAGGATGTCTGCACGACAATAACCCAATCTGTCACCCTACGGCAGCTCCCGGATACGGAAATGGACTTTTCCAAGTACTACAGAGATCTGGAGGCGAAGTGGCAGCAATTCTGGCAAATTGTTGAAGACATTAACAAGAAAACACAAGAGGCGATAAGCCTTGCCTATGATGCCTATAATGATCTTCCCTGGCTCATATTCAGCGGCGGATCGGCTATTATTCGAGAGTGTGATAGTACTGAGCTAATGTTGCACAACGATGGAGAAACTCTAGGCAATGGTATCGACGTTTTGGAAACTTGTTGGCCACATAGAAATGTACCTCGTGAACTAGGAGAGAATCCTGGCCAGTCTGCAAGTCTTGCTAACCTCGCAATGAGATTCCGAAAACTTTTCCCAGCTCAACTTAGCGAGTCATGTCGGACGGCATTGGATAATGAAATCTTTGCCGAGCCTTCGCTTTCTGCAGCGGAGAGAGTTGAAGCTTTCCATTCCAGCTGTGGGTTTGCAGAATTCATTACTGAGGAATTGTTTGAAGCTGGCTGTGCAAGCATCGAGGAGACCATTGGATACAAAGGTTTTACGAATGAAACATTCTTCTCCATCATTGATACACTGCCTTTGAGTTTCCCAGGAAAGGATTCTGAACTCCAGTCTACTGCATTTGGACGCAACGCAATAACCCACGGAGCCAGAGAGGTCCTAGTTCAAAGCAGACAAATCATCCATGATTTATTACTTTTTGCCGTGTTTGTCGAGACCGAAGTAAACCTGGAAACGGAGAATACTCAATTTGACGGGCCTATGATTTTTAGCACATTAATTGACCTACTAAAGGAGTATGAATTGATGATATGGTTAGGGACAAATATACGGCCCCGACAGAAAAAGAACAGATCTGATTCCACATCTGTTCGATTTGGTTCAAAAAGCTGTGACTTCAACCACTGCACTACCGTCCTGGAAGATCTATTCGCAATCCACATCAAGCCTCAGCCTGCTGCATGTGTACCCCAGATGTACGCGATGACGCAACAAATTCAAGACGTCATATCTTGGGTTACGAGACAAGGGGAAGTGTCTCTCTCTAACATCTTGGTGTTTATCCAATGTGATCTTCTCGCTTCTGACAACATCGAACTTGCATCTGATTTCCTTCGTTTCCAACCAAGCACCGCCTGGGCAACCTATGTTAAGGGACGGCTCTACCTTGCAAAGTCCGATTTTGACACAGCAGCAATTTACTTCCAAAAGGCTGCTTACCTTCTTTGTAAGTCAATTTCCCATATGAGATCCTAGTACACCTTCATTGACCAGCATAATTATATAGCCTACGGAAAAGCTGTTGGCAATCTTCATGAGATGTCCTCAAATCTTCTCGATATAGTTTCCGTAGATAACTTCTACAATGGGCTTCCGAGATACTTCCAACACATTGTTAACCTTTTTGAGCTTTCTCGAGCCTTTATTCATGTCGCCGACTTCGCCAACCTTGCGCTTCAGGCTCTTGGATCCAGTCCAAAGAAAAACGAGACAGATCTTGAACATAAGAACCTTCGAAGCGACTTGCTTTCTCGATTATTCCATGCATCTTTGAAAACATGTCGATTTGATGATGCCTATTCAGCTCTCGCCAGATATACAGATATAGCATTACAGAAATCTGCGCTAACATCTCTTACCACTACAATCCTAACTGCTTATGGACCGGGAACAGCAGGTCTACAAAAGGTTCTCCGCCTCCCTCTCTCCCTGACACCTCATCTCTGCTCCCATGTTGATGATGTTCTGGCTTCTCTTGCGAGCAAACAATCGCCCCTGGGACCTTCTATCGGCCAAACGGTACCCTTGAGCAGCTGGCAGGGGACCCAAAACCCACCAGAATATCATCGTGTCCTAAAGGCTTACCGAATTGCCCGCAATGACATCCGCGGGGCAGCAGAGATCTCATATCAAACTGTTAGCAGGCTCAGGGACCTCAGGGACCACCCAACTGCCTCAAAGGTGAAGTTTTTTGCGACCGAAGACGCTTCCAATGATCTGAACGAGGACGACATTGAGAGCAGAGAATTGCGAAACGAGCTTCTCTCTCTTATCAACCTACTTGCCTGTATGGAGAAGAACGAAGCATACATTGTGGTCGAGCAATTTGATCCAAACGCAAATCGACCCGATAGCATGAATTCAATTCTCCATCGACCAAGTAGCAGCATTGACGATCCATTCGCCTCCTCTACTTCCTCCATTAAGAACCCCTTCTCACACAGTGCCGATAGTCGCAGTATGAATTCATCTGATTCGCCTACTCTTCAGAATCACAATACCAGCCTGTCACGGTCATCGTCCGAGCTGAAGATCAACCGTGCAAAACGCATTGTCATTACGCTTGAAGACCTTCGCAAGGAGTATCAGAGCGAGTTGGACCGAGTAAGCAGGATTCGAAGCGGAGACTGGGAATTTGGGGCAGTTGAAGATCTGGAAATGGCTGGTGTATGATAGTTCTGGTGTTTCATAAGTGGTTTTGTTTTATCAGTGCGGGATGGTCTGGTTTTAGGAATGTTGGTTTCAGTAGAATACTCCTTTGCTGTTGAGCGTCCACAGTCAAGCAATTCAATTATGCTAGATTATTGATCAAAATATCTTTTTATCGGTAGAAGGATGGCTTCTAAGAACCGCTCTACGCCTGTAAGTCTAACCAACGTATCATCATTGCCAACAGGAACGATGTGCTAAGAGAATCTAACCTGCCCAATGTAAGGCCTGCCTGTTCCACGAGTCAAGGCACAATATAAACGGAACTTGGAATGAGACCACCGACCCTTTGCTCGAATTTTTTGGTCCATAAAAGTAAAAGAGATAAGGGATGGGAAGTAGGACAATACTTAACTATAAATCCTCGCACGCTGACTGCCCATGGAATCCCCAGCTTTGCGTACATTGATCCCACGAAAAGGGGGAACGCACCAGCACACATGCTCCGCAGAGAGGTGGTTGCTGCAACGG